GACAAAGGATGAGGTGCCCACAGGGACTCCTGAGTGCCCTGGGCTCAGAGCACAAATGATCAAGATAGAGTTTGTGTTGTTTGGCTTGTTCGTAGAAGTAGCAGCTCACAGCTCAGGAAGTGCAAGATGAAAGAGCATTTTTCATGACGTGGGTCGATGTGTCTAAATGTAGATGTTAAGAACACATTTGTTGCTTCCACTAGTGGCAAAACTCAGACATGTTTTCCTGTTGAGATGAATGATGGGTACTGTGGAATAAGCACTATGAGGAGGTAAGTCATTTATGAAAGTCTTGCCCAAAGTAAGATATTCATTCAATGTTTAAATTTTTAATTCTTTTACCCACATGATTTTGGTATCACAGGAAACAAACTGCTCACCATAAGAAATTAATGTATGCAACCCTTGAACTAAGATTAAGAAAATTATAACAATTTATTGGGAATGGATGGGAAATTAATAATAATTATAGCCGCAACTGGTGATAAAGGCCCTCGACCTGGCACGCATCGACCTCCCTTGCTAACGGCCGTGCCCAGTAGCACAACATCAAAGTGTTTCAGGTTTAATATGATCAGACAATGCAAGAGCATTTTACAACCTCCAGGGGTGTGCTGATGAGCCATTTGTTTAAAAAGTTTTAATAATTGTGATCTTGGCTCAGGTAGGTATGGAAGCCCTTAGAGGCAAGAAAAAAAATGCATGTCATATGGGATCTATTTTCTAAGGGTTATTATTATTATTATTATTATTATTATTATTATTATTATTATTATTAATATGCACCAACAACTCAACAACAGCCAAAAAAATCTGAAGCCAGTGCAAGTGGGTGAGAGTGGGGGTGATTTGAGGCCAGGGTTAGGAGTGAGTGAGAACCCTGGTATTTTTTTGTTTTTGCTCAAGTTTCCGAGCAGAGGCAAAGTGGTGATCACTGTACGAGGCTGTTGACAACCTTTGCACTGGCTCAGCTCGCAAAAAGTAAAACTCAAGAAAAAACTGGTGTCTTCAGCCAAAGTAAAGACATACCCCAGCCTCCCACATTCACACCCAATGCCTTACCTAATGAGTCATCCCTCCACTCATTCAGCAGTGCTGAACTTTGCCATTTAAACTAATATGCTGGGGAAACCATGGAAGCCCATTTCTACCAGTAAATAAAAAATAAAAGCCCCACAGAAAGTCATAATTATGACTTTAAAAGTCACAATTATGGGTTTAAAACTTAAGCTGCATCCAAAAATGGTTAAATGCGCTCAGGAAGTTCCTTTCCTTATCATTGACCAAGATGTGTTCCATCGTCTGCCATGACAAGGACCATCCCAACTGATCAGTGAAGTTAGGAAGCTAAAGTTCCTTTAGCATAGGAAACTCAGGAGGTTCCTAACCAGCGGTAAGGAGGTATGAGGCATCCCACAATCCACTGCGCAGATCAAAGCATCTGCTTCCAAATGATTAAACACTGCAGCAGACTATTAATTAAAATCTTCTGCATAAATAAACTCAACTTTACAACTTACAACCATATCAACTATAGAGCCACATCAGCCTGTTTGATATTATAATGAGTTTAATGCAGTTTTGCTCACATTTGTTTATGTTTTACAGAAACAAAACTTTAAACCACATGACTATTGCATAAACCATACAGTGCTGAAAAAACAACTTGTTCCTACGGCCGCTGATGTAGTCAGCCTCTGTCGGACTAAAGGACATGATTATATATGTGTATATATGACTAATATATGTGTTCTTTTTGTGAGAGAGATGTGCTGCTGATGGTGAGTCTGTTCTATGCTTGTATCACGTTTGAGGTGGTTCATGTTAAACTTTTCAGAGATTATATGTGTGCAGATCTTACTTGTGCAGGTTTAGTGCAGCTCTTTATTTAACAGCAGTCATTTCACTCATGTATGGCAGCTTTATTTATGTCAGCTAATGTTGTGATGAAAAGACTGAAAGATTTAAAAAATTATCATAAGACTCACGCTGTAGTGGAGGATAGTACACTTGTTGTAGTCCATTTTCTGGGAGCTGTAGTTTTCACTCTAGTTCCAGCTACTGGTTAGGAGGATCTGGATCCACCTAAAGCAGCAATAGCTCCTTCTCCTCACTGCTCTTCCTCTTCCTTGGTCCTTATGGTCGACCTCATGACGTAGCTCTCAGAGGTAATCATAATATACAAATAGTCATAACAATAAATACTATATAAAATACTTTCCATTTATATTGCTTTTCAAGACACCCAAAACGCTTAACAATAACACACACACACGAGTGTGGTTAGGGTTTTGGGATTAAAAGACAGATTAAACAGAAATGTTTTGAGAAGTGATTTGAATTGATTAGTGGTTTCAGCAGTTAGTACCTGTGGAGAGAGCTTGTTTCAGAGTGCAGGGGCCTGGACACAGAAGGCTCTGACACCCATGGTCCACTCCCTGCAGCGCGGAACGGTGAGCTGAGAGGAGGAGGAGGAGCAGAGTGTCCTGGAGGGTGTGTAGGTTTGGAGCAGGTTAGACTTGTAGATGAGAAAAAGAATATTGTACTGGATATGGTATTTCATGGGAAGCCAGTGCAGGTGGCTTGGTGGGAGTGAGAAACCTGGCAGCAGAGTTTTGGATGTATTGAAACCTGTCAAGACGCGTTTGGGAAATGCCAGAAAGGACTCCATTGTAATAGTCCAGATGGGAGGTAATGAATGACTGAATGAGTGTTTGAGCAACCAAGTCCGGGAGAGATGGACAGAGGTGGGAGATGTTGCGGAGGTGGTAAAAGGCAGATTTTGTGATTGGTTTGATGTGGGGGTTCAAAGGAGAGAGCTGAGTCCAGGATGATGCCCAGGTTGTGGACTGATGGGGAAGGGAGGAAGTCATTTTCATCAATGGTGAGCACCAGACCTTCTGAAGCAGTGGTCTGGTGTCTACAACCATAAGCTCTGTTTGTTGCTGTTGAATTTGAGGAAGTTGGAAGATAACCAAGTCCGAAGATCGGTAAAGCAGTTGGAGAGAAACTGAGGGGGAGACGGGAGCAAGGCTTGGTGGAGATGTAAAGTTGTCTATCTTCGGTGTATGAGTGGAAGTTGAGTCCGTGTTTACGTAGGATTTGTCCGAGGGGGAGCAGATAAATAATAAACAGAAGTGGACCAAGCACAGAACCTTGCAGTACACCTTGGTGGATGAGAGAGGGAGGTGAGCGGGAGTCATTGATGGAAATGAACTGTTGTCTGTGGGAAAGGTATAAGTGAAACCAGGAAAGTGCAGTACCAGTCAGTCTAATGTAATTGGAGAGGCGGTTGAGAAGGATGGAGTGAGAGACTGTGTCAACGTGCTGAGAGTGAAGATGCGAATTTTGACCAATGCTGTGGGGAGTGGTAAGGTAAGCAACAAGGTAAATGTTTTGGGCTGAGTCAACAGGTGTGAAGGTGGAGAAAGCTCAGGTTTTTTAATGTATACAGTAAATAGCCGTGGCTGTTTTTTGTTTTGAGTTTTTGGTGCAAAAAAAAAAAAAAAAAAAAAAGACAATAAAAATAAATAAATAAAGTAGAGCCCAAATGACAAGTGCATATTCCATACTTGTGGTGATAGGCTAGACACAGCTGTCCCCATAGGCCCCTCCAATCACCAACAAACACTCACACACCACATTCAAACTAGGCACTGTGGGTGAAGTGTTATACCTAAGGACACAAGAACAGTTTGAACTGGAGCCACTGCTGCTTCAGTGTGGCACCTCATAGTCTCAGCTGTCTCCTTTTCAAGTTCACTGCTTCAACAGTTAGGACGCTATTGGCTGAACAATATTGATAAGTAGTTTCAGGCTCTCCTCAGGGGTCTCTGTAGCCACTTTAATGAGCCTTCACAATGCAATTAATTGCAAGTGGTTTAATGGATCACCCCCTGGAGAATGGACTGCACTTCAACCTTCAGTGCTCCAACAGCAAAGTCTAGTATAGGCATACAATCATTATGCTTCTCTCAATCTCTTTTTAGGATTTAAAAAAAAAAAAAAAATCCTCTGCCAAAAGAATCTAACATGTGATAATTCCAAAGTGTTTCAGAGAACACTACTACCCAATTAAAAAACCCTTCAGGCTGTTCAAATTTCCTTGAAACTCTGCAGTCCACTCTTGATTTGTGCAGAAAATAACAGGAAGCTTGTCCAAATAATAATAATCATAGGTTTGTAATTGTATTATAATTATGCCCACGTGTTCTGTAATTTCAGTTGTGACTAATTACAAGTTGTAAATACTGCATACATTTACTACAGCCTACAATAGCTTTTAGTAAGGGCAGTATGTTATTAAACTATTTTCTTTCCCAAAACGTGAATCCTATATTTAAAACTGATATACCAGTGGGTGATGCCATGTTTTCATTAGGTTTAGATCTAACGAAATCTGATCCATATATTTTCATTTCACAACTGTGCTGACACTTCTATTTGCTATTAGTTACCATTTAAAAGTAAACTAGTTCAATAAATAAAAACTATTAATGTTTTTCAAACTTTGGTATGTGTACCACTGGTCGTCAGTGAGCTTTTCAGGTGGTACTTGTCACTTGGATAGCTCTTTAGATTTGCCTAATGTAGAGTTCACTTTATCCACTTTTTTGTCCTCCTTTGGTTGATTCCTCTGTAGAACCATAGTGACAATGATGTTGTCAAATTTTTACCCCTAAATATAGACTTTGTTTAGATCTAGTGATACTTGGAAACCCAAATCTTTTCTTTGTGGTACTTGGTGTGAGAAGTTGGAGAACCACTGAAGGCCTACTATGTGCAGCTCCAACAGTGACATCTAGCGTCCATTTCGTTCATTACATATTGTAAAGCTCTACGGGTTACATGTACCTTGTAAAAGATCAGTTTGAAATTGACCTGTTTTCAAATGTAACCCTACTGATGTCGCATGTTTTGCGATAATGCTCGTGTTTATTTTAAAAAGAGAAAAAAGAAAGCGACGTTCTTACTTCCGGGTGCAGGTCCTCGTTTCCGGTCACATGCTTGCGATCAGCTGACCTCACGACGCTTCTCCTTTTGATGTTCTGCTGACTGCTATCCACCGTCGACGGACAGAAGCGACAAATTCAATATATCCCCACGGTTTTGTCGGCATAAAAGTGATATTTTAGCCCCACACTTGCTGCTGGTGGAGCGGGATTATCGGCGGATAGATGCTGTTGGAGTGGATGATGAACGGACACGCTCTTCTGTATACGGGGGTCACTGTGGCCTTCTGGAGTACCATCCTAATCGTCGGTCAGTCTACGCTACTACTCATTTATGAATGAAATACACATTTGAATAGATTTTACACATGCTTTAATACATGCCCACTGCTTTGTTTTCAATCTACACTTAGCATTGTTAGCATCCAACTGCATTTTGCACCTGATCTACTCTGCTAATGTGTGTTTTGCTTCGTGTTAGCATACTGTCATAATGTAGAAAATGTACAAAGATGCAATCCAATTATTTGAAATATATACTTTATAGATGACTATTTAGTTATGCGTAGATGAGTTATGAATAATAATTACCATTTTCTATTAATTTAGCTTGTGTCAATCATCAGTAGCATTGACAGCTAGCTTCGACAAATCCATTACAAATTGACTGCTGGTCATATGTTTGCGTATCTGTTGCTACCTTCATACTTGTCTGCTTACAATATAACGTTGTAATTATGCTGTAACTGTGTAAAACCAGTCTCTTTCATCACGTGATGTTGAGCTATCACACCTAAACTACAACTTGTCAAGGCATTTGCACATGACTTCTGCTCTGACTACTAAAGCAGAAAAGAAAACTTCAATTATCTAACTTGCATTTTTTTTCCCTTTTCCACAGGTATCTGCTATACAATTTTTGACTTGGGATTCAGATTTGATGTAGCATGGTAAGATTAAGCAAATGCAATGTCTTTACCCTAGACATAAAGTTCCCAGATTGCACAAAATGTTTTTTTTGTTTTTTTGGTGTCTCTAAGGATGTCCATTAAAGGAACTGTTTATTTAGTTTCTGTTGTAAATTATGCACCGATGTGTGCTCTCAGGAACATTACAATTATTTTATTATTCTAGTTATTACTATTTCACTGTATAAATTATAATACTGTTCTTTGTATGACAGATTTTGTATTTTTTTTATTTTTCAGGTTCCTGACAGAGACTTCGCCTTACATGTGGGCTAACCTGGGCATTGGCCTGGCTATATCCCTGTCAGTGGTGGGTGCTGCCTGGTAAGTGTACACAGCTCAATAATTCATTGACTTTCATTGAGTTTTATCAATTTAAGTAGGAATTAATATAATTTGGATTCTTTGTTTTAGGGGCATCTACATCACAGGCTCCAGCATCATTGGTGGTGGTGTCAAGGCGCCTAGAATCAAAACTAAGAATTTAGTCAGGTAGGTAAACTACTATACTAATGCAAAAATTTTATATTTTTAATCAAAAAGTCAAATAACATAAAAAACTGAATTCTTTTGTTTTTATCTAGCATCATCTTCTGTGAAGCTGTAGCAATTTATGGAATTATTATGGCTATTGTCATCAGCAACATGGCTGAGGTAAGATATTCTTTGCTCTATACAGATGTACTTCTGTCAACTCATTTGTCAAAATTTATACTTTTTCTAAAATTTTGAACATTTACTGTAGACATCCAAGCACAAATATTATTATATTATGCTTTGTATGAGGAAGTGTTCTTTTAGACCTGACTCATATGGGAACTATAAAATGTTCAGAATGAATCAGTACAAGTATAGTCTACTGTTTATATTTAAGCAATGTTTTTTTCCTGCAGATGTTCAGTGGAACAACCCCAGACACCATTGGAGCTAAGAACTACCAAGCCGGTGAGTGTGTGACACAAGGTTATTAGACAGTTGCTGTATTAGAAATGGGTGGTATGGACAAATATTTCAGAGTGTGTGCTAGGGCTGCACAATATGAGAAAAAGATGCCTTAATTGAAAACTGTGGTGTGTATTGTGGTAAAAATATTATTGTGATATTTTAAAATATTTTGGCACAATAAGATTAGTTAAATTAAAACAAAATATGTATATGTATTCATTTACTAGTCAAACTGTGCCTGTAAGTGAAAATTAAACCAAATCAAGACTAACCTAAGTTTAATGTGGGACTAAATAAGGAAAATAATTAATACCGTCTGCTGTTTTGTCAGTTTTTCTTTCAAAATTTTTAAATTTGTAAAAAAAAGGGGAACCTTGTGTTGCATTATTTTTATTTCTGTGCAACATCTGTTACTATGCTATCCAATATAGTGATATCAATATTTTTGCAATATATTGTGCAGCCCTAGTATGCACTCCTTATAACTAAGTCCTTTTGAATTTTCTTTAGATTTTATTTTTATATCTTTTATATAGAGTAAATTGAAAAGCCCTGTCAATTATGTAGTTATTTCTTTATTTAAATTTCCAAGTGTCTAATAGTAACCGATTGATGGCAATATCAAAAATGTCTCTAAAAGGGTGTGTCCAAAATTTAACTCATTTTAGTTCTGTTATGGAGTTGGGTTTGGTGTGGTTCTAGCTTAGGAGGCATTTTCATTAAAAATGTATAAGCAAATCTGTCGCAATAAAATGACTGTATTATATGTTTGTGTTTGCAGGATACTCTATGTTTGGTGCTGGCCTGACTGTTGGCTTCTCAAATCTGTTCTGTGGAATCTGTGTGGGCATCGTGGGCAGTGGAGCTGCTCTGGCTGATGCTCAGAACCCCAGTCTCTTTGTCAAAATCCTCATTGTGGAAATCTTTGGCAGTGCTATCGGCCTGTTTGGTGTGATTGTAGCCATTCTGCAGGTGAGTAACACATAAGAATTGGATGTATTTGTTTTTAATGAACTGAAATGGAATAATTACAATTTAGAAATTTTTTTTTTCAGTCAAATAAAGTTAAGGTCGCCTTCCATGTAGTTTTACACATTATTTAGAAATGTTTTAGTCTAGTTTTCAGCTACTTTAAGACTTGATTTAATCCTTTATCTAAATGTTTGGAGAAGGTAGTGCTACAGAGAACCCTTGTTGTATTAACTTCTCACAGACCATAAATATTATTTAAAATTCTTATTAAGGTAAACTACAGTAATTACTATCAAAACAAATGGATTTTGTTGGTCCAACAATGCAGTGCACTGAATCCAAATAATATAGTTAGTTAGTTATAACCAGTTAAGCTGTGTGACTGCATCTATGCAGCTGTTTACACTTTCATAGTGGGAATGGGTGATATATATTGTTATATAATGTTTTTCTATATTGCTGTCAGCCAATACCTATATTCAGTACCAATATTTTTTTTCACATTTTCCTCTTTCCATGTGTTAGTTGTGTCCATGTGTCATTCCCAGATTGTCCTCAGTGGTTCAGATTTGTCTTTTTGAATAGACTAATACGTAAAAATATAAAATAGTTGTGTAAGTTATGGCTGTATGTTTACACAACCATGGAACTAATTATTTTATATCCCAGATAGATACTTTTTTTATACTTACATTTTATACTTGTTAAATTTTATACTCACAAAAGTCCTTTTGTGATCTTTACTTCAACTTTAGATAAGTTTGTGGGTCTGGCTATGGATTTTAAAAGCAAAATATCGACAAATAGTGGTTGTCGGCCAAAAATCTGGCCCATTCCTATTCCACTGTGCACACACCTCTTAAACTAGAACTAAACACAGGACCAGTAATTTGTTTGGCTAGAATAGGCTTATGCCATTTTACACACTGTTTAAATATTAACCTAAGTATGATATTTATATGTTGTCATTTTGTTTTGCAGACATCAAAAGTAAAGATGGGAGACTAAAAATGTCTGTATCTTCAGAAGAAGAATTTGCTGGAAAACAAGATGGATTATTGTGTAAATACATCGTAAATTATTTAAGTGTCTCTATTTGCCTGTTTTTAACTTGTCATTCACAACAAATGACCCGTGTAAGTCCTACTCCTCCTGCATTTGATTACCATGAATGTTTAAAGAGAGAAAACACTTGTAATGGCTACTCGTACTATAGACCAGCAGCAGTTTCTTCCACTAAATTGTGAATGAGAAGTTAAAAACATGAGTATTTGAACATATTGGTGTGTATGTGTGTATGTATGATGCACTTGTCTCTCATTTTCTCTCCACTGAAGCATGGGGTTGTCAAAATGTGTTTACTTTAGCCTGGTCTGTCACGTATTTTTCTTTTCTTTGTTTCTTATAAGCCAGTGGTCCTTAATCAACAAAGTGTCCCAGTTACAGTATTTGCCTGACACAGCAGAACGAAGGTTATTTAATGTTATTTTGAGAAAGGAAAATTCAGATCACAGCGGTACTTCTAATCCAAATGTGTCATCTATTTCTATCATCACTTACATTCCTACTTCCAAGATTTTAAGATTTGCATTCAAAACCCTTAAGCATCTTCTAAAAATAGCTGCTCAAACTGTGTTCAATACAAAGTTATACAGATAAAAATCATGCATTCTTACACATATCTGACCTGCTTGTGTCCATGGAGATGGATAAGTTCATTGCCATACTGTGGAACATTCTAGGCAAGCAATGACGTCACTTTACAGGCAAGCAGGTGTCAAACAGGCTTCAAATCTAACTTTATTTTTGTCAATACATTGTCTTATCTTTTCCATACATTCCTAAATGTGTGAACGCACTGAAACTGTGTGGGTGATGTGCAATTCTACTCTTGTTTTACATGATTAAAAGCCATTTTTGTGTGGTCTGTAGTTCTGATGTGAACGGGTTCAAACGGGCACTTCATGCAACTATATAATTTATTGTTCCATAGTATGATCTCAGTGTCATTTTGTCATCACATTTTGACAGACTATGGTTGTGAATGAAACTTTATTTTTGTCAATTCACTTATTCTTGTAGTAGATTTATTGAAAGTGTGAAAAAAAGTTGAGTTAATGACCTGGGCCTTAGAGAAGATATTTGATGACCATTGATAAACCAGGCTGTATCCAACCCTTGGCTTTCGGTGACTGTAGTTGGACCTGTGTGTATGTTCATGTTGATGTGATGGTGATCTGACAATAACCTTGTTTTTGACATTGTGAAAAATAACAATCTCCCTGTACATGTCTGTAAGAAAATAAAATATTGAAAAAAATACTTTCAGTATTTGTTCAGTTTTCAAATGAATCAAATATCATAGCACACGTACATGAAGATTTTTTTTATTATTATTTGACGTTTTGCCACAAGAGGGCGACATATACCACAACGTATTGTGCACCTGTTCATGGGGAGAAAGAGAAAAAAAAACAATACTAAAGATACTCAATACTAAACATGTTCAGCATTCAATATTAAACCGCGCATGTATTCTTTATGGCCTATGCTTCAATTTAATGTGGTTTAAGGGATTTCAATTAAATTAAATATTATGTATATATATGTAAACATTCAATAGTTAAAATAAATACATAATTAAAAAGAAAAGTCATTTATTTTTAATGTTGATAGCATATTCATATACTGTTCCACTCCTCCACTGGAATTTTCACACTGTGGGACAAATAAAGGTTCTCTTATGTTATAATAAATTAAGGATATTTTCTTGCAAATAAAAATCTTAAATGTGATGCAGTTTAAAAGGCGTGAAACATATCTGGTAATGATAAAATAATGAAGAATATGAGGAGGAGAATTTTAAAATAAAAGAACATTCATTTACTAGACACCAAAAGCGATTTGCGCTCACTCCAGGCTTCCGTAGGCAGCAGGAGCGAGGGGACCTGCTCTCTGCCACAGCATCCTTTTCTTTGGTTTTCTCTTATCCTCACCAAAACACAACGGGATGACGGAAAAACACGAGGATAGCGTCGTTTTACTCTTCGGATGGTCGTAAACAAATAATCCGGGATATGATAGCCATTTTTCACCGGTAAACCTCACCAAAATGAGGCTCTTACCCGAAGAAGCAGACATAATAGCTTGTCTGTGAAAAGAATATAGTTATCTTTAGCCGATCGAGCTGGGCTGATCCTTTTGCATTTTACTTCTTTTAATTGCAGATATTTCTTAGATTTTTGACTGCGTTATCTTCACATCTACTGCTTCGTAAGCTTTTTAAACATTTTTCTTCTTCGGCGAGTGCACCACTAACACAGAGGATGCTCAGATAAGAGAAAGTGCTCGCTTGACAACATCCAAGGTAGGTACCGTGCACTATTGTTTTCACTTTCCACTGTTACTATGCAATTTTTCAGCTAGCATCACCATCTATTTCTCCTGTTTTAACGTACAATCTGTTTGGTTTAACCATGCACGAGATTGCAATGTTAAGAAGCACATTTTGAACTAGCTACATCTCATGGATCCATGCATCATTCTTATTCTTACACCCGCCATAGTGGACTCCCCTTTTACCATGCACTGTTGTTATTTTAACTACTTCTCTCTCCGCAAAGCATTTTATTTAAATACTCCTTGTAGTAATTTGATTTATTTAGACGTGTTCTGCACAATTTCACATCTTTGTATATTCTTGCAAGTCTAGCCATAGCCTGTTTCAATGGGGGAATGAGCGAGCATAGCAAGAGGAGGAGGAGGCATTGTCAGGATGCTTGAACTAACCAGGCATTTACACAGAAGCTTCTCACTATGCCATAATCCAATGTGACATCTTGCTCATTTATGACACATTATCTCCTATGGGCTGGATACTACCACTGCACCAGAGAGGTTATAGTGGCAAGTGGACTGGAACCACTGCCCTCCCTTACTCCCCATCTGTGTGCAAGTTAATGGGTTTTGCTGTTTCATTTTTATGCTGTGTATAAAACATTTAACTTGTCAAGAGAATGTATTTATTTTTGATGCAGCTGCGTTTGTATTCCAGTTTGATAAACAAAGCAGTAAAGTAATTTCAGTGACCCAAACCCAACACACAATCCAAAAAATATAGCCTATAGTTGTTTCCCATTTAGTAAGCTAATAATAATAATGGTAGTTTATATCTTGGTTTGTATTTTTAAGCAGAATCCAGTATACAATTTTATACATATGAGTTGTTTTGTTATGCAATCAAAAGCAGTGACTCTCTTAAAGTATTTCTATTGTTATTGAAATTCAAGTCAATGCCAAATCAAGACAGTTCTGCTCACAATTTAGAGACAGAAGAACCAGGTGTCTCTCTGGTATTGTAGGAAAGGGTCAGTGCCGTGGTGGAGGTCCAAGCATATTCATTAGAGTACATCTGTAAGTGTAAAAAATGAGGAGAACTTCATATTTTAAGATTGTTTAAACTTATAAATGTTTAATGAAGTGCAGTTATGTAACCTGAGCCTCACTTTACTGATATCAGTTTAAGTGCTGCCTTCTTCTTTGTCTTTGCAGTTTTGAAAGTCACAGCAGCAGCGATTGTTATTAGTCACCTCATCTTTGCCAGTCACTATCAATTACGTGAAATACAACTCCGTCAAAACATGAAGGATGAACCTAGCCCTTAGAAATGTGATCATGATTGGAATTAAATCATCAGTCCAATCGCAAATTACTTAAGCAGCGTGACCACTGGCACATTCTCCTCACCATGGCAACTTTTTAGGTAGAGAGATGAGATACAGAGATAGACGGCTGATATTTGAACATTTAGTGCACTGGCTATCGGCCTTAAATCTCCTGCCAGTGATGTATTTTGGCTGACCTGCTGCCTAAAGAATATGCAACAGGTTTATTTGAACACTTTAGTACAAAGAGATAACCCAAAATATTGGCAGAGCTTATTGGCCATTGGTTCATCTGGATTCTAAACAATCAGTAGCTCTAGACACAGTATTATAAATTAAACATTTTGTGGATTACATATATAGACAAAAGTATTTACTCTACCAGTTTTAGCAGTTATTTGTATCTAGACATCATTTATTTATTTTTGACAACCCAGGATCATCTTTAAACAACTAACATCAGCTGTCATTTATATACTTGCACTTCATTGTTTTATATGTGTACGCTGTTCACTGACAATGGCAACAAAATGTATAATACTGTGATTCTGATCTTCAAAAGTGCAGTTGTTGTATGCTCCCAGTTTGCAGTGGCTAGTATCAGATTATATTATTTGGGTACCTGCCACAACACAATATTCTTTTGAGCTAGGAGTCAGGGTATCTATGACTTCACTCATACACACAAATCTGTAATATCACTAATGTTGAATGGCACAATGTAAACGCGTTTTTCTTCGCTTTATGTCAAAATCCAAATCCAGTTGAGACCTATGATCTCAAATGTACCACTATGATAAAATTGTGGGTTTTATTTTAAACGTCCTGGAAATAAGTTGGCACGTTGCCCAGCAGAACTCGGTGCTCCGAGCCAAGAAATAAACCCAAACATAGCACAGTATTAATGCAACAAGTGTATTTGATTTTAAACAGATTATTTCCCCCATTAGTGAGTTGTTATGGGCCTCTTGTCCAGATGTTTTGCCTTAGATTTTGGCATTGGCTTTGGTGTTACGCTTCCACCATTTTGATTTATATGAAACGCTTATTGGTCGATTAGCCTAATTGCAAGAGGTGATTGAAAATGAGTTTATAATTGTGTTTATATTAGGGAACATGTTGATCCACATTAATACAGTCTATGTTCATTACAGTAGACTTGTAGTATGACTTATTGTCCTTTTGTTTAAAAATGTAACACGTTTAATTTCATAGCTGTCATCTGTTTGTCTGTTAGCCTTTTCATTCCACTAATAAAACAAGAAATAAATTACAAGTAGTGTAGGTAATGTTGGTGAGTGACACAATAACAGTATATATAAAGTACTGGGCTACTACCAACTCTAGTTTCTGCTCAGCTAGCCTTTTGCACTTTTGGTTACCCCAAACTCCATCCATCTTTGTCACTCCATACCAAAAAGTTATAGAAGTGACACTAAATGTATAAAACCCCATATAAAAGAGCTAGCCTTTTGGACAGTGATCTTTCTGTATTTTCTAACACAGAGCCAACAAGTCTATCTTAACAGAATGGAATAGCTTAATACTGCTTCTGCATTGAGGCTATACACAAATGCATTATATAAAAGGTTGATAAGAAGTGCTGAAAGCCTGACTGTTCTTAAGCCTAATATCCTAGTGATGTTTTAAGCCAGTCTTTTAACTTGCACATCAAATCCTGATCTTTTTCCATAGCCTCTCTCTCTCTCTCTCCTATTCTCTCTATTTCACTGTTCTGTCTCTCTCTCGGTTTCTTACTCTCACTCTCTTGCTCTCTCTGTTTCTCTCTCCTTTTCACTCTGTACTCTCTTCCCAGCTTTCTCTTTCCTTCTCTTTCTCAACTATCTTTCTTTATCTCTCACCTCTTTACCTCTCTCTCTCCTTCCTCCCCTCTTTCTCTCACTCTCCTTGCATATCTCCCTTCTATATCTCTCCGACTCTCTCTCTTGTCCCTGTCCTTTTCTCTCTTTCCATAACCTCTTCCCTCATTCCCTCTCTTTCTGTCCCTTTCTCTCTCTTCTTTCCACACTTCATTTATTTCTTTGCTCGGCTGCCAACTGAGCAGCTGGATGTGAGCTGGAAACAGAGGCGATGGAGAGAGAAAGACGATTATTTATTCACTGTAGACGTAGCATCTTTGCATCACAGACCCACTTTGGCACATCGGCTAATGCTAGTTTTTAGGGCATGTGTCCCGAAAATGACTGAAACAAAATTAAACTTCCCAGACTGATTTGGCGTTTAGTGTTTGTGTTAACCCTGATTATGATAATGCCTTTGACATTTTAATGCAAAGATGTGTGAGTAGTGTCTAAGTTTATTCATATTACTTCACTTGCCACTAGTGTTACTAACATTTCAAACACGATTTCAATACTGTAGAATAGACTTGCTACTCATGACCGATTAAGATACCACAATGTTATTAAAAAACACTCTTTATTTAGCCAATAGTAATTTTAAACGTTAACAATTATAGCTTTCATAGGTCCGTGGGCGTATACCATATTTTTCGGACTATAAGGTGCACTTAAAATCTTTTAATTTTCTCAAAAATCAACAGTGCACCTTATAATCCAGTGCATCTTATGTTTTAATTCTGGTTGTGCCTACTGACCTCGAACCGATTTTATGTGGTACACAGCGCTCAAAAATCTG